CCCGCGATTGCGACGGCAGCAGCGGCGACGGATTCTGCACGATCCTCTGGATGTCCGGCGGCGGCAGATTAATAGTGATGTGATGTGGCTTCAACTGCGGCACCGCCACGCCCGGCGACACGTGGATGTGCTGGGTGATGTGACGGGTGACCGATTGCGACGACGACGACGACGACGACGACGACTGCGAGGGCTTCGGCGATGGCCTCGGTGTTGGATAAAACGATCTCATGGTTGTCTCGACGGTGGTCGGCGTCGGCAAAAAGCCACTGGGTATCCTGTGCTGCTGCTGCGACGTCTGACTCGTCTTCGAGACCACCGTTCGAGACGACTGCTGTTGGCTCGGCACTGGAGATATTGTCAGCTTAGACACCTAAAATAGAAAAAAAAAAAAGAGTGTGAAAAGTGTATTATTAATTCCGAAATTATTTGTATCATAAAAAGCAATCAGTAATAATTATAAAAATTGATGTACTATTTGACTACATTTTTTCGAAATAAATTTTGCTCAATTTGATCGTCATTATTGAATTGTTAATTTCAATTTGGAATTTCTGTTGCAGAAATCGACTGCAAGATCCTTGCGCGCACCTTGCCCTTGTTGGTCGGCTGAATTGCCTCCAGCCTGATGTCCTGCTCGCCGTCGTCGTCGTCGTCGTCGCCATAGTCGGAAGTCTCGCGCGGGTTGTTGCTGTGCACGGTGAAGTGCTCGGTGGTGCTCGCGACGCCGTGATTGTGGAAGATGGGGTTGATCAGGGAGGCCGGGCCCTGATTGGCGTTGCCGCTGAGCAGCGTCTGTATCGTGGGCGACGGCGTGGCGTGGTGGTACAGCGGCGTCACGGTGGACGGTTCGTTGTGGATGATCTGCGGCGGTGGGCCCACCGTCGAGCTGTACCTGATCTGATGGATCTGCGGCGCCGATGACGGCTGCGACGACGGCTGCACGGTCGTCGAGCTGACGATCTGATTGCCGCCCTGATTGCTGAACAGTTGATACGACGTGGCCTGATTGCCGGTGCGCTCGCCATTGTGGAAGATGTACTGGTGATGGTAACCGCCGTTCTTGTCATCGTACAGCGACTTCGACTGGCTCGCGTGGACCTGCGGGAACGGCGGTTGCGGTTGATAGTGCTGCGGGTAGCCGGACGGATGCTGGAACGCGCCGCTCGCAGCCGTGGTGGACGGCTTGTTGGGCCGCGATGTGGTCGTGCTAGTCGTCGAGGTCGTGCTGGGCCGCGCCGAGGTCGTGCGCGACTGATGATCTTCCACCGGTAAGTCTGACAGATCATCCTCGTCGTCGCCGTCGTGCAAGCTGCAAGAATAACGATGGAATGAGAAAATCTCGGGTAAAAGTGGTAATGACGGACGTTGCAACATTGTTCCGCGGTGTCGCAACTCATCGTCGCCCGCGTAACTCTTCCAGGTAGCGCGCATTTGCATCTCTTCCTCCATTATGCTTCGACACAAGTGGTTTACGAAACTGGATACTCTGTGTTACACGAGAAACCACTACGTAATTTATAGAATAAAGTGTTCTGAGATGCGAAGTGGATTTTAATTTTTTTTTACAGCATTTGCGCATCTATAAATTATCGGAGAGGAAATCGTCGCAGACACAGACGGAAACGCTTTGACAGAAGTGGTTTACGAAACTGTTTATTTTATTGCATGTAAAGAATTAGGTTGCGATTTATGGAAAAAAAAAGCGTTCTTGAACTGATTGAATCTTAATCGTCGTCGCGGACAGGCGGAAGCTCGACGCTTCGACAGAAGTGGTTTACGAAACTAAATATTTTGTTATATAAAAAATCACGTTGTAATTTATAAGATAAATTGCTCTGATACTAATCAAGTTTTTTTTTTGCAGATTCCACGCATTCTACGACGTTTTATAAATTATCGGGGGAAAATCGTCGTCGCTAGCGGATGCTCGAGAAAACGTAAGTTCGATGTTTTAAGAAAAGGATACTTCATAAAACTAAATATTTCGTTGTATGTAAATATTGGCTTGTGATTTATATGTGTTTTTCACTACGTTCGGCGTTAAATTATCAAAAAGGAAATTATCAACGTAAGCGGATGCATCGTACAGGCAGAAACTCGACGCATTCTTGAGCACGAGATAACCACTTCCAGGTAACGAGCGTTAATCGCTGAGACGACGCTGACGGATGATAATGACGACGTTGACCGTACAAGGAATAAGATGGCGGACAAGAATAGTTCGCGTCTATAAGCTGAAAAATGACCAGCGGATTTACTGGGCGTGAAGCGGTCGAAAGTAGAAGTGGCATCGATGACTAAGCCGCGTCGGCGTCGATAAATTTCAGGTGACAGTTAATCGTTACAATGTTTATCTGCATATGCTTCCTCTTGTGCGCACCGCGAGAGGAGAGGAACAGACTCGGGCATTCCTGGGATACCTGAGCCGCGAGCGAAGGAACGCCACTAAAATATTTATAGATGTCCAGGCGTATGAGCGCCTTTTACAGCCGGCAATTCTGCTGTTCGACTTGCGCTTAAGGTGAGCCACTTACACAAAAATGCATACGTATCGCCAGTCGCGGCGCATACGAATCTGAAATATGTGGCAGTATGCGAGAGCGCGCCGCGATTTTCGTTTTAACGCGATATTACACGATCATACTTCTGGGCGTTGCTGCTTTGGATATTGCATAAATGAGACGAAGCGGAGAAAAAAAATGTGAGTAACGAAATCCAGACGAGAATTTCTGAAATGCGACTTGATATTGCCTCACGTACTGGGTGTCCCGCGACGCTCGCGCGAGCTCGAATGACTCTATTAATGAATAAGAAACCAATTTTTCGAGAGAGGTTTCTTTTCAATAAACTTTAATATTTCATAAGTTTTACATTTAATCGCGTATATTTTGATACTTTAAATTAAATTTATGAGAAAAGGTTCGCTTGGGAATTTGAGACTTACAGCATTGAGGTTTGCATAATTTCTATTGACATTGTCACTATTTATTCCCGCGACATTTTGCGCGAAGGGAAGATAAATTATCAAGCGAAAAACATTCAGCGTGTCTTTGGTCCTTACGACACCCGGAGTGAACGTCCAAGTCTCTAGCTGTATTAGACACCTTGTTTGTGACCTGCGAGGCAATCAGAGTGTGCAACAACTTATTTAATTCGATAGCCAGTTTCTGCTCGCAGCGACACGCGAAACAAAATAAATTAATGACCGGTTTGCTGTTGCCACTGTCGTTAATGAAATTTTCAGAAAGTCATATTGTCATTAACCCTTCGACAGCTCGTGTTCTTTTTCACGTCTTGAAACTATTAAATCTCCTATCGACAGATGTAAGAAAACTGAACTTTGCAAGTATCCTATTAAATATTGGAAAGTAGCAGCGAAATAAAATCACTATGCAGATTGAGAAAAAAGAGGCAGTGAAACAAGATTATGAAACTAAATAACGATTAAACTATGTACAGCGCGCTTATCTCAGGAAGTAATTAAGATTTTTGCATAAATATGTGTTCAACAATGTTATTTTTCACGATAGTTTTGTAATAATCTTATAAATTTATTATACGAGTATAAATGTTTTCTTCTACACATTTAATATATAGCAATTGCTTTATGTTAAACTTTATGTTTGAAAAATATTGGCTTGTTTTGTTTAGAGTTTTGATTGCGCAATTTTTCAAAAAAAAAAAAATTTAATTTCTAACAACGGGAAAGTATGAAAGGCACGAGTTAATGTCTAATTACCTGAGCGTCACCGCGTTATTGCCATAGAGCTCTAGATTCAAATTGTAGAACCGCTCGCTCTTGCTGCAATCGACCTCGTCGACCCTCTCGCAGACCCTGGTCTCCTGGTCGAAGACGGTCCCGTTTAGACAAAGGAATTTGATGTCCATGATCTCGTCTGAAACCAAGTTTTATGGTGAAGAAAATGGGCATTATTCGGGGATATTCTGGTCTTACGAGACGCGTTCGTCATTACAATCTCAAAATACGTTTATTTTAATTTCATCGATCGAGCTCGCTCGATATTTTTGGCTATTAATTTTGAATCAAGCATTATTTTATTTAACTTAATGAAAAGCAGCGAATGAAAATTACAGAAATGTGTTAAACTTTATTTTCCAAGCTGACTTTAAAACAAGAAATTAATCGCGACTTTTCACGTATTATTGTCGCTTCGCTGAGAATGCAGCGATTTATTTTTGGAAAAAACATTCCTTGCGCGCCTATCTTAAAGATATACTCGTGACCATCTTGAGCTGATCCAGTCCGCAAAGCCTATTTTGCACGAGCGATTATGCAAATGATTTTATATGTCAGGCGTTCACGTACCACGACGAAGGATCGGAGTAGACTATGCGAATCAAGGCTGGGAATCGGCGATTTGTCGAACACGGCGTGATTAGAATTCGAAGCGATAATTAATGGTAGTGCACACCTGTTTAAGGTTGGTGCGTATCGACAATAATTAGATCGTTTCGAAAGGTCCGGTTGAAGGCCCCATCGAGGTTTTGTAATTGATCCGGGAGATCGCTCATGAGCGAGAATGTCACGGTCGTCGAAGAACGTTTATTGACCTAAGCCGAGAGACTGACTTTGATACGTCACGAGGAATCGATCTCCTTGTCGCGCGCGAGCCCGATCTTGAGAATTTAATTTGTTAAATGGAATTCTCTCGGTCACTGCTTTTCCTCTAAAAAAGGAGCACGTGAAATTGCGCAACTTAAAGCATTACGTAATGCCTTGAATTATATAATAAATGTTTCTCCATCAATGAAATTGTTAAAGCTTAGATTTTGATTAGTTTGCGACTTAAGATTATTTTTCTTTATCTTTATTTGCATTGTTGTTATTTTTTACTTTATCGCAATTTATATTTTACGAATTTGTTTGATAAACTTTGCAAAAAAAAATAATTTTTAAAGTCTCTTCTTTAAATTTCTTCTTACAAAACGTGTGATTACGATGTGAATAATTCAAGTTACGTTCGCGTTTTGAGAGATCCCGCCTTTATAATGCAAAATTACCTTTCTGACCGATGGTGCAGACGTGAAACATCTGACAGCCCGCCTCGACGTCCGCGTAGTATCCACCAATCACCTTTCCTTGACACGAGAAATTCGTTTCCGGCAGGTTGTCGAAGTCCAGATACTTGAAAATCAGAAATCGGTCGACTTAGCGGTGAAAAAAATTCCATCGAGAGAAATTTGAGCAAAAGAACGCTTGTTTCCTTCGAGAATTAAGTTTAGTCACTTACGCCAGGTTCCCCCGCGCTGCATAACAAACGGCCATGATGAAAGTTGAGGATCGACACGAAAACTGAAAAGAAAGGGAGAAGTAAAACGTGAGAAAGCGGAAATTGCATTACATATTATATATCTGCAACAACAACAAAAAATCCAAAGAACTCTGCTTTCAGATATTTGTGCTGCTCCCGCGAGCTAAATTACTCCTCTTTTATTCGCCGGCAGAAATAGAAAGAGGAATTTTTTAAATGAAATAACACAGCTCAACTCTCGGAGAGCTAAACGCGTTCTTGAAATTTCGCGAAAAATGCAGCGGCAATCTATTCTTAGTAGCGTATTCTCCTTCAGCTTGACTTTCGCTTGAAGTACGTTCTCTCGCGGTATTTCCCGTGGAAACATTTAAGTCGTGCGCGTGAACCGCGTCCAATCCGTGTAATACGTGTATCGACACACGTCGCTCGGATAACAGAAGCTTATTTTTTTTTCTTTATCGAACAAAAAAAATTCGCTTGCGCCGCCGACATCTCGTTCGGCGCAGCCGTAATTTACGGGGGTAATTTATACGGTTGCGCAATCTCGGGCCCGTGGTCCCCCTGTTGCACCAGTCGCGGTTATAATTATGTACAACTATCGTCAACACACACACGCACGCGCGCGCACCGACGATAGGTTAATGCACCGAAATGCTCCGGAAATTCGAGTTTGTCAGTCCGATCCGCTACCGTAATATTTATAACATAATTACACGTGGAACGTAATCCCGCTATGTAAATGAAACGTTACGCAAGTGCGATTAGATTGAATTAAAAAATTACGTTAAATCTGAATAATTAAATCAATATTAACTCCGTGGACTCAAATTTAACGAAAAATTAAAGAAACAATGCCGATTGGAACCGAATACGAGAACTGAATCAAGATTTCGCCGAAGAGCAAAATATTGTGTACTTTTAAAATACACGTTGCATTATTGTACGCGTGATTATAATAGAATGATTTCTTTTTGTTTCGCCAAATTAAAGGGGCCTCGTAAAAAATAGGAAGATACAATGAGCAATGAGATACTAGAGTAGGCAACTTTCACCACACTTATCTAACACGTGCCAGACAGGTGTTAATTGTTACCTTCAGATTTAATTATATTCGTCGCACTGCCTCTGTCTTGCAGTGCATTACTCGCTAATAACTCTTTTAATATTCACATTGCAAGATCCATATTTTTTTGTCGATGAAGATTTATGTAATGCGCTTGTAATTGATTTATGGCGTAATGATTTATTGATAGTCTCGATGCATTAAATAAAAAAAAATTTTTACTTTCCTCGCTTGTACATATGCGCAATAATGCTTCAGTTAAAAAATTGTATAAATTTTATACCAACAATAATTAAATTAAATGTTTAATGTATTTAATTATTGAAATAATATTGAAAATATAAGTAACATTACAAGTAGATCTTTGTAATATAAAAAGGGTTTATAAATTTAATGATTTTTCTTAAAATAATATTTATTGTAAAATAATGATATTTTGTGACATTGATCTTTTTTTGTTACTTTTTACAATGTTGTGATTCATTAGTCTCTTAACTGTGTCTTTAACAAAGTGCTTCTAGCACTTTCATCCAATTCACAATTTGACCATGAAACGCTATCTCGCACAGTCTCACGGTCTGCCGATCGGGCTCTCTCAGAGACAATGCGATCGCGGTCGTTTCTTTAAAACGAGTCGAGATTATTGCTACTTATGCGGATTACAAGCGATTTTAATTCCGAAATGTGTACAAAGACGGCCTTTCACCAATGAAGTGGCGTTTGCGGTACCCGCGCGCGCGCGTAAAATATATTCCGCTCTGCTCTAACGCGAGATTGTAAAACGTTCGATATCTCCCGATATACAATTACATAATTTGCGAATAAAAAGATACGCGGGAAAGAGAGAATATTGAAATGATGATGTAAGCGAAACAAAAACAACGGCATACCGTAGGTACATTCGCTACGATGTTTCGTCGATTATTTTTTTACATATGCTGACCTTTCGTTTCGATGATGCCTGGTATGCGACGTCATGTGACGTTAGTTTCCATCAGTTTCACCATGGCCAACGTCGTTAATAACACCGCAAAGCTTTCTCGAAGTGAAAGAATATTTATTCTCGTCGATTTCGTTTAAATCGGCTAGAAAAATCTAACCACAGATACTCTAAATATAACTCTACCCGCTTTTGCAACTGTATTTTGTCTATAATTAATCGTTTGATATTTTCTACTTACTTTATTGCAGTAAACACTTTTTGCAATAATGAAGATAAATAAGATTGTTCTGCTGCAAAATTCTTATTCTTATTACGAAGATAATTCAACAAATTTTTGCAAAATTGTTATTCAAAAATAAGTATTTAATATAAAAATTCAAGTAACAACTTATTTTTCTACCTTCTATTAATTTCTTTAATAGCAACGCCTTTTATTTTTGAGTCGCAAACCTTTTGACTCGTCCTTATAATTATGCGGTGAAAAATTTGTACTCTAAGTTCATAAACTGCTCGTGAACTTGAGCAGTAGTAATAAGCGGCGCGAAAATTGAATGCATGTTGTAAAAAAAAAAAGATAAAATACGTCTGTGATTGGGGAGGCTAAAAGCGGTACAGATCAATTCGCGTAAATGCGTCTCATGTGTCAGCAGGTAAAAAGGGAAAGGAGGAAGAAATGGAGAACGCAGTCGCGGCACACGTCAGGAGATTCCGTGATAGAAACCGAAATTTCATAAATAATTCCTCGGGCATACCGTGCTCGGCCGACTGTGACGAAGTTCCTTGAAACTCCTTGGCGCGTTCCCTTGTGACTTTACTCTAACCGTGATAGCCCCGTCGGTCAGCCGCCCATGAACGTCTGCTTTCATTGATCGCGCACAACTCGGTATTTCATTGTTGCTGCTGCACGAAGAGATCGCGATTTTCTTATTTTATTCCGCACTACGCTTGCCATTCAAATAATTTGAAAGTTTCGAGTCCCAATCATTACAAATGTGGTTTCGTAATTCTGCTGGCGCTTTGTAAATGTAATGGAATTGTTGTTGCCGAGAAATGAGCAACGTATCAATGCTGAATTAAAAATTTTATTTTATGATAATAATTTGCAAAAGAAAAAGAAAGGTTAATGTTTTTCAACATCTTAAAATTAAAAGATATCTAATTACAGATAAAATATATAAATATTTTATACCTGAGAGTATTTAAGATTGACGTTTTACGCGTGAGAAAGTATTTAAAATAGACTTGACTTTAAAAATCGAGATACAAAAGTGAAAAAATAATTTATTATAATTTAAGTAGGCAATAGAATATTTAGTGTCATATCATCTCCATAAGTGTGGAATTTACGGTTTAATTATACATATTTTCACGCGAAGAAATATTGCAACGATGTATTTATTCCAATTTTATCTTTTATTTTTGTTATATTAACACGCTCGTTAATCATTGTCATAATTTTTTTCTGATATCCCACCGTAATGTAGGTATGTAATGTACACACATAACATCGCATCGGTACGATGTAACGGCCGCGCCGATGGCTGAAGCACGTGGTTGCATTAGCCTGACGCATGGTAATAATCCAATCCGGCTTTCGTTTATCGTAAATTTCGCTTAATGGCATGCGAGAAGAGATTCTGCGAGAGATGCCAAATAGATACCATCGTCGTGCAAACGCACTGTACATATGCGTAAAAAGTTCTAGCATACAGGATGTTCCAAAACTCATGGGTGTTTCTTTAACATGACAGATTTTCTGACCAACTTGAAGTCGATTTTCATTAGCAAGAAAGCTCGTTTTTCAAAATATATATTTTTCTAATTAACTTTAAATAAAATTTTATCAAAGTAAAGTTGATTTGAAATTGGAGTAAGGAATATAGTTCTATTATTTGTCTCTCCAAAATTTGTGAAAACCCCTTTTTTTTACAATTATTTATAATTGGTACTTCAATATTTGCTGAAGAAAGAATCGAAATTTCAAACTGTTCAAAGAATCTGTCATTAAAACATCCGCGAGTTTTAGGACATACTGTACAGCGTGTATTTTTTTTTCACGTCGCGTCACAAGTATGCACCGCTGCGTAAAAGCATCACCAAGGAAGAAGAAGCGCCCGCCGGAGTGATATAACCCTTTAGCGCGTAATACCTGTGTGAATCTCGTGACATTTAGATCTTAGGCCAGCTTAGACCGATCCGTTGCTCGTCTTCGCGCGCGCGCGCGCGCGAGTCGACTCCTGACAGTCTACGATTTCGTCCGATAAATTATCTCCAGATCGCGTTTACGCTAGCTCTCTACACGCCCGCAGCATCCCGCACTATCTCAATGAGTGGACCATTTCACAAGCGCATGTCGCACGTCATATAGACGACGTGAAAGCGTTGTCGGTCCTCCCACTCGACGAAGAACGATGCCTTTCCTCCCGCATGCGGCGAGATGTTATCAATCTTTATGACGCCTTATTATCGAGCAATCTGGGATTCATATATAACTGAGTGATTTGTTAATTAAACGAGATAGCGATCGTTGGGCTGCCTCGGAGACAAATGCTTGTTGCAAAAGTACAACGCGGAATTAGATGCCAGATGGTATCTTTTTTTCATTATAAAGACACTTAAAAATTTCAAAAATATCTGTAGCAATTGATAATCAACTCAATTTTTATTTTCTTATAAAAAAAACTCGTTTATTTATTATTTTTGCGTAAAAACTAAAAGAAATATTTATATCACACGAAAAATAGTTGCGTAAATTTGTCGGACTGGTTATAGATATATCTTTATCATCGTTCTCGCGATGTGTGCGTGGAGATTGCGCTGGAAAAAAAGCATCCAGCCATAGGTTAGTTCGAGAACAACTTAATTGATATCGGCCGCCGCGGGTCCGCGAGGAAAGATCGAAAGTAAGCGCGCTCGGATCGAACCGCTCGAAACGAACCGCGTATTGATCGAGTATTGAGAAACGATTCCGCACGATCGGAGCGGACCAATGAGCGTAAGGAGAGTACGCTTTTGTCGGCGTCGGCGTGCCGATA